TTAAATTATGCATCGGCTATAAAAAAATATCCACCTTCATATCGAGGTTAATAGCACTGCTATACAAAATTAATTTGCGTCCCAGTATATTCAGATATGCTTCTCTAGTAACTATTCATGTTCAAAGTAAAAATATCACTGCTACTTTTACATGTATATTTACAGTAATGATTTTTTGCACGAAAAGTAGTTATCATGAATTTTTCACTATACTTTAGATACTTACGTTATATCTGAATAGCACTGTAATAATAGTTATTTTTTATAGAAAATAGATGTTACGGGTGCTTTCATTATCTTGGCAACCTGATTGTTTTTGTCTTCGCTCAACTTCAATTTCTCTTTCTTCTTTCAGATTATCTTGCATTCTTTTTTTTTTTTGTCCATCAACCATAGCTGCAAAGTCAAAGCATGTTCGCCGAGAAATAGTTGTTTTATTACTTTTCGAGCTTGGCTGATTAAGCGTTTTTTAATTTGAAAAACTTCCTACCGAATCTCCGCCTGTCCGCCAACGCGATGAAATACCCTTCCCACCCACCGGTCACCACTGTTGCGCACGTATGAGTAATCCGTCCTTTTAACGAGACAAATCAATCTAATGCCTCCACTGACGGACGTTTTCGCAATTGGATTTTGCCCACCGGACCGTATAAAAGGGCTCTTTCATTCTACAAAAATTATTTATGAACATTTCCGAGCGCCAAATCACTGCTCTCTCACTCTCTCTCTGGTGATAAATGTAAAAATTACTGTTTCATCAATGTAAACTGGTGACATTATACCGCGTCCAGGTATTTTCCTTACTGTTCAGAAAAACAATTGATCTTTGCTGTTTGCCAAAGTCACTGATTATAAACAGCAAGAGTTGGTGAAAATGTTCAATCCCACGAAACATCGACACAGATAATTTCCAATGCCCTGAGTCTCGGCCATCTTTGATACGATTACAAGCGTCTCCCCGAGCTCTTTTGTCTCTTTTTCGCGGAACTCGCGCAACACACAAGTTTTTTCCGCATCGAGTGCTTTTCGCCGTCGTACGCGGATGGAAGACTCGTCGCAACGGATGCACCAACCCCCGATGCCGCGGGCTCTCTCTTTCTGTGTACCTATCAAAACTCCAATGTGCTTTTGTTTACCCTCTCCCTGCCAAAAGACACGCGTGGAATGGGAAAAGTTTTATCCCGATGTCGTGCCCATTACTCCCCCGCAGCAACAGCTCGATGCAGGAGGTAAATAATTTTTTCAAACCACCTGACTTTCACGAGTAACAAAGGAAAATAATAATAATAATCCATCGTTCGTTGTATGTATATACTTTACGCTCGACGAGCGCGCCGCTATCAATTATCGGGAGTGCAGGCGCGCGGTAAAAATAAAAACGTCAAATTCGCGAAATAAATGGAAGGGGTACGTTTAACGCCCCGATGTATATTTATCCGTCGCGTTTTATGCCCCGTAATATCCAGTCCGCCGGCGCCCGTCGCCCGCGAGGGCGTTATTCATTTTAATGCCTTTGCCGGAGTCCTCGTTTAAGCTCTTAATTATCCCTTAATTTCATTCCCCTTCAATTGATCATCCGAAACAACCCCCCACGACTCTACCGGGGCGTCGCATTACATGGGGATAAAACCATCCCCGTTGGAGTAAAGTAAGTGCTTTGAGTTGAAAAAAAAAAAAATACCTGGAGTCGGTCAAACCGCAATTGGACGATCGCGCCGAATTTTTACGGTCCTCGGTTGAGGTGAAAAATGGCACGCGCGGACAGTCGCGTGCCTACTTTTTATCTCCACGCGGCGAGTGAATTAAACAGGGCGACGTGATAAGAAAAGCGAGCCGCGGTCGGGGGATGAAAAAAAAAAAAAGGCGCTCAACCGAGCGGAAAAAGGCGGACAGTGTGTGTATGCATCATCAGCGGACTCGCCGGACAGTTATGGGGTCTGCGTGTGCAAAAATTTCGCGTCGCAAATAAAACTCGGCCGAGCCAGCCGGAAATTTATCGCGAGCTCAGCTGACGGATTATACGAACCCGAGGGATTTACCAAGTTTCTATTTTTTTTTTTTCTTTTTTTTTCCCCCCTACCCAAAACTGCACAAATCATCCCCCTTTGTTACACACGCGTGTGTTTACGGCTTTGGTGTAAATTGCACCCCCCTCCCTACTTTGTTATTAATTTGCTCTCGTAAATTAATTAATTATCGTTGCCTAACACTAATTTAGCTTAATTAATAGTTTGGATTAACCCCCACGCGACCGCGTGTTCACGGTAAATTGCCATAAGCATAACATGCTTGTATACGGTTGATTTGGGAGCAAGTATATGTCGAGCTTGATTATTCGGCGACTCGACGAAAAATGTCATTTGAAACGCGCACAACGCACAGTGTATAAATTTCGCGTTCCTATACGCACCGCCATTCGTTTTAATGCTCCATAAAATTTGGCCCGAGCTGCGCTTTTCAATTTTCCCGACACAACGAAAACACCCCCGTACCAGGGGGCTCGCGACAATGGCCACGCGTATCAAACACCGATCGCTATCGCGCGAAAAATCACTGCAAGCGCGAGAAACGCCACCGAGGGGGGGGGCGCTCTTTCTTCCGGTGAATCAAGTGTGTGCATATATACGAGCTAGGGGGGGGAGTAGGGAAAGGCGAACGCCTCGTAGACTCGTTAATGCGACATTCAGAGCCGAGCGGAGCCGGGGTTTTTATCCTAATTGAGATCTCGAGGCTGATGGCGATCCACCCGTTTTCTCCCCCTCCCTCCGAGCGGGGACAAAGATACTGCTCGCTTTCCCCCCTCCTCCCGCCACCTCGTCATCAAGCGATGTCGCGAGAGGGATGGTAATAAGCGCGAGACCACCTACACCTCGGATGGGGAAAGCTACACGCCAAAGAGAAGCTTATTTTTTTTTTTTTGGTGTGGGGTGGATCGTATACACGTGCAGCCGTGGTTCCACGAGAGAAAGGGAGCGCGGAAAAATAGGCGGGTAGTTGGCACGGGGTACGTATAATACGCTAATGCACTCGTGGGTGCGTGCACGCGTGATCCTGTTTAAATGCTAACACTAGCGCGGAGCTGTGTTCTTTTTGCCTTTTTTTCCAGCCAGCTGGAGCGTGTGTGTCTGTATAGGTGCGGAGAGAGAGCTTTTTTTTCCCCTCCCGAGACGAGGGAGCTAATTGGCGGGTTGGTTTGTACACGCGTGGGCTTTTTTGCGTCCGGGGGGGATGGGTGTTTTCTTAATTGCGAACGATTGCCGTCGATGCGCATCGAAGGGCTTTTCTTTTGTTTTCTTTTTGTTTTCCAACGCGGAGTTTGCCGGGTTACGAGGGGAAAAAAAAATTTTTTATTTCCTAGTAAAAGTGTAACTGGAGTGTCGTATGTTGTGTACGGGAGAGAAAAAGTTTTTGTGCCCCCTCCAAGTTTGATTATTAAAGTTGAAGCGTCTAAGGGTGTTCTGCCGATGTGCTTTCTTGAGAGTGTTTCCGGGCAAAAAGTGTGTGCCGCGCGAAAATACGTTTGCGGTACACCCGTGTAATATTTATCTTTGATGTATACTGCAACGCGGGTATTATTATCCTTTCGAACAGAGTGAATTTACCAGGTAACTATCCTGTACAAGGGGAATCTCATCAATGTTAAAATTAGCATGAAACAGCTTCGCCTCGAGTCTTTTCCACCGCTTGGGCCAGACCAGGGCGGGTATGTACACACTTTAAAGCGGTATATTAAAATATTCCGCGTATACATGTACAGCTTGGCGAGGATGAAAAATTTATCAAAATACGAGAGACTGTGAGTAAATGTGGCGTGAATTTCGCGGTGCAGCGGTTCATTATTGCGTTTTGGACGGAAAAGTAAAGGTTGATTTTTGTTTTGCCTCATTTCGCATGAGCTAGTTTAATTAATCATCGTGTTAATTTGGGCTTGTTGGTTTGATGAAAATTTAGTATTACTAACTGTATCGGTAATTATGTATGTTAAACTTATGGAACGAGGATTTATTTATAATTCACATTTGAATGGAGTTGAATGATGAAGTGGTGGTGGTGTAATGGTGAGCATTGAAAAATTAAAAATCGACCTTAATACCAGAACTTTGGCGCCTGGTGCTGAGTCCGTTAAATCTAAAATTAATTCCCGTACGAACATTATCAGAGCTGTTTGCGCAACACACGCTGCGTACAAAGTAATAAGTCTACGTGCGATAAGACAACACCAGCGATCGTCATTGATACTTACTCAAAAAAAAGATGATTCAACTATCCGTCTCGTATTGTTTTTCCAACTCATTTTTATCCACAAGCTCTTTATTCCTGCATTTGAAAGAAGACCCGAAGCGCCAACAGATAATTTTGTATTGTTTTCAAATTAAAAAAAAAAAAAAAAATCTAAGAAGGCCAGAACAACAAAGTGTCAACAGTTATAATTCCCACTGCAATTGCAGTTCCTAATAAATTGCTATCGTGTAAGACAATAAATTAATATACTATAGAAAACTGCGTAAAAGTCAACCGGGCCGTACTGCTTTTCGACAACACCATCGACTGCTCGTTGAGAAAAAAAAAAAAAAAAAAAAAAAAAAAAAAAGAAAAGAAAAAAAGAAAAACTACCCGAGCTTCCCCAAACAACGAGCTGCCCTCGAGCGCGGGGTAATCGCATTACGTCATTATTCATTAAAAACAACGAGCCACTTGCCACCCCAAAACGCGACCAGGAAAAACCTGGTAAAACAATGAGGGAGGGAAAAAAAGACTGCCCTCGTTTTTTCATACCGATTTTCACCCCTCCCCGGCACTTTGGAATTCTTATAAAATGCGCGGAGCGAATGGAAAATGTAATATTGATGTACACGCGCGTGGTGTGGGGGAAGGGATAAAAATTCAATAAAGGCAAAGCGCGGAAATTCAATTTCCCGGGGGTGGGGAGAGAGGCGCCTCCACGAAACGCGTATAGCCGTAAAACGCAACGCACCGAAGCGGGTAAACAAAAGGCTCACCGTTCTCCTGATGACCGTCCTGACGGTCTCGGCTTCCTGCGTCGGCCACTGCGTTGGCCACCTAGCGTAGACGTAAAGGCCCGCAAGCACGAGGACGAGCACGCCGAGCCTGAGGGCGCACCGCCCCAGGGGCCCGCTGGTCCGTGCCAGGAGCTTCCTCGCCGGCCTCGTCGCCAACACCTCCTTGGCCTGCAGCTCGAGCTTCCTCGCCTTGGCCAGAATACCCCCGAGCCGCTCCTTCGCCTGCTCGAGCTCGTGGCTGGCCATACCTCCCACCGACCGACCCAAAGACCACCCCAACGTTATTCGACTCCCCCCCCCCCTCCACGAGGACCAAAATTAAAGGGGTGAACTAACAACAACTGCCACAACAACAACAACAACAACAACAATGAAGTGCTCGCGACAGTACTTGAGGTGGTCGCATGATTTGGCGGCAGCTTCGTCGCGGGCCGGCTGCGGGCGAATAACTGGGCCGCCGAGGAGTACTACTGGCCCTGTGTAGCCCGCCAGACTGCCTTGTACCTACACCCACCCTCTTTTTCTCTCTCTCTCTCTCTTTGTCGCGTGTAGTGGCAAGTGGCACACGCGGGAAGAGGGAGAAAGGCGGGGTACGCCTGCGCGCCAGACTCATCTTCCCTCCCTCTTTTTCGGTCGGTCTACATCCTACGGCTCCCCACCTGGAATATGTCTCTTTCGCTCACTGCCACCGAGGTGGTGTATGGGGGGTATCACCGAGGATGGGCTACCTCCACACACAGGGGTATACACATATACGTGCAAGCTCGCTTTTGTTTATGTTCGATAGGTTTCGGCTGCTCCCACTTTACTACCACTGTCGCTATACTCTGCGGTTACCTTTCTTTCTTTCTTTTTCCTTCTAGGTTCGAAAGCAGGTGGAAAACGTGGGGGAAGGGGGGGGGGAGATCGAGCTACTTTACTAACCGAACTGTTTTCGCAAGGGAGATTTTATTCCCGTTCTTTTGGCAGGGGAAAGGGGTGCACTGGGGGTAAAAGTGAGGCTGGATTTCGTTGAGTTTTATGAAAGACTCCCTCCCTCTCTCTCCAAGGGAGTAATGGCTTTTCGGCGCGTGGTTTACGTCTGGATTTTTTTTTCTTTTCCATCCACCTACCCTTTTACGCTACTGCATGCTGGGTCTGTAAATTTCACGGAGCGAAGGCCGCAGTGCTTTTTATCTTACGTGCGAGTAATCGTCGATGAAAACTCTCTTTGAACGAGAGTACAGGGGAAGGGCGAACTTTGCGATGTAGGCCTTGGTCAGTTTCGTCTCTCCACTTGTGGGTAAATTACTGGGGGGCCCATTCGCAGTGGTGCATCTATGTTTCCTCGGTACTTGGAGACGGGACGATGGGCTTAGGAGGGAAGCGCTGAAACAGGAGGTGTAGGCCAGACGTGTTGGCTTTATCGTCATTTGAGAAAAAGGTCAACGACAACAGTTCAGCTATGAAAAAATCTCCCGAAGACTATCGTTCCCCCTTTTTTTTCGCCCCCAAGCGGTATGGCGAAAAAATTACGCCAAGGCGCGTCCTCTCGGTTTCCAAAAGAATTTCCGAGGCTTTCGAAAACACTCGCCACGGGTATGGGTGCACATGCGCTGCAACGACAACAAGGGCGTGTACATGTACACATGGCCCTTGGGAAAGTGAATTTTTCAAAGAATCAATATTTGATGACCCAAGCCACATCAAAACAACAAACACCAAGCGCGCAACCCACGTAGCCGGGCGTATCGGTCTATACAACGTCTCGGCGTGCATGTTTCAGTAACACGAGTCTCGAGAGTTAGCCGATGGCCGAGATGCTTATGTGTATATACATACATACGAATTGCATCCGTGCCCCCTCGTCATCCGCGTGTGTGGGTATATACTCACAGCGTGTCTAGGAGACCGCAACTAATTCCAAAGTGGAGGCAAAGGAAGAGGGATAAGAGAGTAGGTATATACGTATCTGGTCTTATTCATGTACACCTATATGTGCGGGGGAGCAGGCTCTCAAGGTGCAGCAAAGCTACCCCGTCTCTGTGTACATACTTTTATACTCCTTGAAAATTCACTCGGGCGTGTGCGTTTGGTGAAAGAGTTGCGGTACACATTCACGTGCACGTGTGTAAGTATATACACGGGGTGGGGGCGACATCGACTTCGAGGGAGGACTAGGAGATCTGCTTGAGAACTTGTATCTGCTACTGGTGGGTGACATCCGTTTCGAGCGTAATATGCGGGCTATATGGAATTTGAGAGCCGATGCCTTGGCTTATTTCACCAAAGTGCATAGCTCCGTATATATTTTTTCCTCCCCCTTTTTTTACAGTAGTGGCTTGATGAAGCTCGCGTACGTAGTCTCCTTATACGCCTCTTTCTTTTCCCCAACGCGGACAAAAGTACATAGTGGTTTTTTCCATTTTATTTCGGAGGAATTTCATTTGCATAGACACCGGCGATATTAAATTCCGCGGCGCGAGAACGATACTACGCGTTATGTTTTATGCACGCGCCTAAGGGGCGAGTCACCCCCTTGGAAAAAAAAACCTCTTGCGCCGTTGAACCGATTTTCATCACCAAATTTCCGGTATTTTTGAGAAAACCCAATCACGCCCCCGCGCTGTACTACATCGGGTTTATCATTCGCTGTCGTTGCCTTCACCCCCACCCCAATTAACACAACGAAAGTCCAATCGGGTCACGGCGACGTTTATTGGAAAATTCGAGTCATCCCGTGTCCTCCAGTGATCGAAACGTTGAAAAAGAAAAGATATTCCCCCTTTTTTTTCTGGAGGGAGGGACACAAAGCCGAAGGCGTCGCAATCAGGCGTCACAGAGCCCCGCAGGTTTTTTCCGGTGACGGCGCGTCAAAGCGCAAAATGGGGATGAAGAAGAAAAAAAAAAAAAAACCCCCAACAACAATCCCTTGGCAAATTGGAGGTCGACGGGGAGTCAGATTCGATTCGAAACTTTTCCATGCGGCGATTCAAGTTTCAATTCGGCCGCCGTTTCGTTTCTCATTACATTTCCAACCTGTTTGCCAACGGCAGCTACCCCCCGCTGTGTTGCGAAACTCGAGGAACGAGGTGTCGGGCTTTGTTGGGCTGGCAAACGAATTCCCGGGAAACTTGCCCATTAGCCCGGAAAAACACTTAATCCAAGCCAAGTGAGAGGGGAAGTAGTACGGGGCGTATAAATTAAAAAGTCGTTGGCAGACGGGCCGTTTAGCGCCCCGGTGATTTGCGTATACGTATACTACAGAGATGTTGAAGCGGTACCGGCTATATTATGTATGGACTCGCGCTCGAGGGAAAACTTGGGGATCGAATAAGTTTTGTAATTCAATACAGGTAGTAGGTGCGTGGCGGCGGCCCTGCCGAGCGACTTCGTGAAATTGACAGATGTAATGAACTCGGGGCGCGATGCGGTCGCTGCTGACGTCGGGCATCGTGCATAAAGTTATACGTTTTTATCAAAAGAACGAAACTTTACGCTTGTACTTTTTTTTTTTTTTTTTTTTTTTTTTTTTTTTTTTTTTTTTCATTAAATTCAACCTATAAGAATATTGACGAGTACACGCTGGTGGTTCGCTTACTCATCAAAAACAAATTAATGTGTATCAACACTGTAACGTACTTCTCTATATTTAACCCTTGGGGTGTGCAATTTTTTTTTTTCATTTATAAAGAGCTTACCAGCTGTTCACACGAGAGTAAGGGTCGACGTGGGGGATCATAAGATTGCAAGTTCCGTAAGTCTCGCACGTATATAACATAATGCACTTGTGCGCGCTGACACAATATACCTGACAATCATTAGGAGTCGCAGGTCGAAGACAAGCTGGATAGCTCTCGGCGGTGATAGGAAAGGAGGGCGGAGGTGAAGCTCGCGCCTCGCCAGCACACGTAGCCAAAGGAACGGAAGAGCAAGCCGAGCAAAGCCGTAACACGATTGACGCCGAAAGCCCGACTTGGAGCAACAATCCGATTAAGCCGGTCTGGGCATCTTCCCTGGGGATCGAGAGACCGTGCATATAGAGACGGGGAGGGGCACGTACAGGAGAGCTGCCCTGTACCTGTCTTATATTCTCTTTGTCTTTCGGTGCTTGCAGCAAACGCTGTGTGGGGGTGGGGGATGTATAATCAATTGCTCGATGCAGCGCGCCAACAGCCGGAAACACGAGACTCAACCAGATCACGGAGCGCTGAGCTCTCCTTTCGGCGCCACGGACGTAATATGGACTCGCCAAGGGAAGATTGGACGGAAGAAGAGGCTGCGAAAAGTAAAGGGGCTGTTGATGGATATTGGGTTGCGCAACTCGATGGAAGGGGGAAGTTTTTTTCCTTCTTCTATTTTTAATGGCGTGGAGTTTTTTTTTTTTTTTTTTTTTCCTCAGCACCAACCAATTGCGAGGGAGATGAAAAGTGGTACCTTATCCTCGGGTGAGTTTTTTCAAAAACAAGACTACTTCGATGTTGTTTCGAAAGGACAAGTTGGCCTCTATATCACAACTAGTCATGCGTACAACCACAATATTCCCGTATATTTTTAAACTAAAATTGTCCTCGTTGTGTTACACACATGTATAATAATAATATACACACCATCCAACGATGAACAGCGGGTGATTTCTTCGCTGCAATTTCCGTCCATTTGAAACCAAAATCCTCGTTCCCTCGACAGAGTGCAGATTACAGCGGTGTATATCATCAAAAGAGAGCCACGTCCGCGCCCGCGGGGCTAATCGCCCATCCTGCCCCCTCGAGCCAGACGGTACCGCAGACTAGAGGCTTACAATTCTCGACGATCGGCAACCACAGCTTACCCAAAGGCCATCGTATAACCTATATACAGAGGGGATTTACCCACCACGAGTGCGGGGGATGGAGCCATTAGGTATACGTGGAACGGGGCGAAATTAGAGGGTCCGGGGGAAAGAAAAGGCGAGAGGGTTGGAGGGGACGGGCGGTTCAAGCCTGCCCCTGATGGAAGCTTGATGCACAGGCCTCCTCCTCCTCCTCCGATAGATTATTCCCTTGGCTCCTTTTATACACACACACTCTTGCTCGCGCGTGATTAAGCTCCATATATATATATACCTACCTCTGCCTAATTGGCCTGTCATTTATAAACACCGAGCAGAGATAAAGAGCTCCCGTGTATTGCCGCTATATTACTTTTCCGTGCCCCGCTCGTATCCCCGCTTCGGCCCCCGTTTTGATGAATTCGAGGCGAAAGGCCCAGGCAGTTTAAAGGGACGCGCCAATCGGCTGATGAATTATTGTTCGGCCATTGACGCTCCCGCGTGCGTTTATGGTAATAGATGCGCCCCCTTTGCGCGCTCCCCTCATTAATCCTTATTTATTGCCTTTTGCCCGTATATAACAGCGTGTACAGGAGCTTCGTTGTTTCGTTCAATCGCGACCCTTACATTTTTTTTCTAACTTTACTCATTGATGCGTGACACGTGGAGACGGAGAGTTTTGATGATTTTTCTTGACTGCCGCCTTTTATTGCCTTGACTGCTCCGGCGTTTGTATTTGCTTCGGAAAGTAGTGCGCGAAAGACAAACGGATGATTCTCTAGACGCAGGCTGCAAAAGAGCGAGTAAACAGTGGCCACACGTGGGTCTCCTTTGCCAGCGCTGAAAACGCAGGAAGCACTGCGGGTGTGTCCGTAGCCAGGGCCTCGGGCTTATCATGTCCCCGTCGAAAGAGCAACTGGCGAATATTCGAAGCGAAGGGTGTACGGAGGGAGGGGAAGAGAGAGAGATACGATATATCGCCAAAGGTGTTATCGATTTCGCGCCTTCCTCTCTCTTTCCTCCTCTTCCGGTCGTTGTGTGCATCTCCGGCACCCACCCCCGCGGGTAATGAAATGCGCGGAGGCTGCGGTGGATGGATACATATATTTATTATACGCACCAGCTTCGAGTTTTATTGTGTATACGCTTGCCTCTTTCCGAGCAACAGCTGCGCCGGTTTTGCGGTATATTTCGTTACGCAGGTGGGACGCTTCTCCTTTTTTTTTTTCGTTCGTTTTCCTCTTTCTTTCCGACGCTTTTGCTATCGGAGAGTGTGTGATGGGCGTCGACTTTGTTGTGCTTTTGCGTGTGTATGTGTATCTTTTGACTGGAATCACTGGTATATACAGTGTGGAAATTATTAATGCGACCGTGTGCGCCTGGGCTTTTTACGAGGCCGGATTACGTGCATGAATATTCAGACGATGGATGATTTTTTCTTTTTTTCTTTTTCATACTATGTGTATGCACTTAATTTTGAAGTACGACTCTGTATTTTATACTATATTTTACAATGGAGCTCTTGTTGAATGAATTTTTCATTCGCATGGATACAGCATCACGTTGACGCACAAGCTATAATGGGCTTTGGAAGTCAGCCGTGTCTGACCAAACTTTGACTCTTACTACTCATTTATGAACTTTTTTTTTTTTTCAACGCGTAATTATTCTGAAAAAAATTAAAAAATAAATTAATGAACTTGCGGTGTCGAGAACATAATTATTAGACACCTTTTTTTTATAAAAACGTGTTAACTAAACATACCAAAAAAAATGTTGACATTTTTTACGTCCAAACAAAATGCATGTGTTGTTCACCTTCGTCATTAGTTTTTTTTTTGTTTTTTCAATTTATTTATTAAAATTGTTCTCTGTCAGCTAGTAAATGTGTCGTCATTTTGAATATACCAGATAAATGTTTTTTATAGTTTTTATAGAAATAATAAAGTGCCGTATTATTGTATTTTTGTAAAGTTACTTTATTGGCTGAAAAAATGAAACATTTATCCCTAGATTAAATTTTCATTATTTACAATAAAAAATTGTATTCTGTCAGTAAAACGTGTTGTAAAATAAAAACTACTCTACCGATTCCGCTCAAAAGGAATGGTTACCATCTTATGGTCAGATGAATGAATAGCTGGGTATTATTTCATTAAATTGACCGCGGTGAAATTTCTTCATTGAAAATATGATGCCCTCTAAGTAGCTATCATAACTAATAAATAAATAAGTAAATAAATAAATTAAGAAATAATCGATTAAAATCACCTTGAAAAACGAGTTATATAACAAATGATAAAATTCATGCACTAATCAATAAACAAATCCTCTTTATGATTTATTATTACGGTGAATAAAATATAAGGAAAAATGGCAAAAAAAAGAAAAGAAAGAACAACACTGCATTGGAAACTGCGAGATCGTTCGATCTTTCTTTAAATTTTATTAGTGAAAAAGCATTGTTTTAAACAACTGATTTTACATACGATCTGCCTTAACAAATAACCGGTGTTTTTTTTTTTTTTTTTTTTTTTTTTCAAACAAATGACATTATTTTCAGCAATAATGGACACGACTATAACTGTAGGTACGTACTCTTCCATGTATAATATAATAGTGTACGGCGCATATAATATCACCACTTAAGGCGAAATCAACGGTTTTTTTTTTTAGTTGTGCTTGTGTACCACTCAAATGTGAAACGTAAAAAACGTACACGGCTCTGTTTTTTTTTCTCTCTCTTTTTTTTTTTTATCAAAATACAAAAAAAAATTTAAAAAGCTCTGACGATGAGGTAAACAGTTTTCCTTATTCCTCCTATATGGAAAAAGGTGCTGATAACGAGAATAAATACAACGATAAATAATGATGTAATTTTTATATAATAATAGGCGTACAGTATGACAATGACGATAAACAATAATTGTGTACATGCTCGCGTGATGTGACGATAATTGACTAAATTTTTACATCATTCTCTCTTCATCCGATTATTTGAAACATGCCCGGTTATGCCGTATCATGACAAGTAGACGCGTTTCTCTTATTTTTCTTTCGTCTCTATTTAGAATTGATTTTTTTCGTATACATTATTTAAATATGCATTCTTTTTTATTTTTTCATTCATTTTTATTAATTATCATTACATAACATCATTTTTGTTTTAATGTATGTACAAAAAACGCATTTTTTTCTTAATAATATAATCCATAGTGACAAAATTTCAAATTTCGCTAGCTACGTTTTTGTTTTTTGTTCTTCGACCTACAAAATATTTTGTTCGTTCCATACATTGCAGCAATACTCTTTCACTCTTATCGCTGCCTTTGAGAACGCTATTTTTTTAAATTTTAGTTGCAGTTTTTCGTGCGTACAGTGTGTAAACAATTACTTTTTCTTTCGCTTAACGTTCAAGTAAACTCACCCATATTTATTCATTAATTGTTTTATCATACAACTTGGTAAATTTTTTTTTCATAGTTATGAAAAATTAAAGTTACTCTGCTGTCCATCAATTAGTTATTCATCAATATTATCATACAAAGTCCATACTCGTATGCCAATGCTGTTTTCATTAACTTTTTTTTTTATTTCGTTAAAATTTACATGTCTATAATATTCATCGCAAAGTCAAAAGTTTGTCGCTCTCTTCTTTCTTTATACATTACATAATTGCCTATATAAATGTACGTACGCCCAAGTAAAGAAAAAGCGCTTTTTTTTATTTGCTTTGTTGAATAGTCTTCGAGTAAAATTTATTAAAAGCTAAAGAGTTCGTTTTATTTCCATTCGAGGCCGGCAGCGGTCTGAAACACGTCTTGCGTGAATCATCACCTATTTTTGAGAAATGGGGATTTTTTATAACTGATTTCGAAATAATAGACATGGGGGAAAAGGTAGGTAAATATATTTTTTCATCAGCGATTTTTTGAATCTCCGTAAGCACATCGTTGTTAATTATTTACTCATTTTTATTACATTGTTATGACAAATAAAAATCAAATACCTACATCTTTAGCACAAATACTTTACAAATATACACATACGCGGCCGTAACCGACGCAGCAGACAGTGCAGACACTGCAGGGTGCATATAATGCTCATGTGTGTATATGAACACTCACACATTGGAGACCCGTGGGGCGATGCCAAGTCTTCACTCATCGCTGCTTCCCCCTTGCCCCGCAAGTGGTTCTCCACCGCTATCTCTACCGAACGTCCTTAAAAATGCCAAACCTCACGGAACAATATAAAATTGTTTTTTTTTTTTTTTTTTTTTTTTTTTTTTTTTTTTCCTCATCTTTAATGTACAATATCTTAAAAAGAGTGTCGTGGAGCCTCTCCTTCTTGAACTATTATATTTATAACTTTATTGATTTTTAGAATGTATATGCACTCTGTCGCCATTTTTAATTTCCTTTTTTTTTCTCTTCATATATTTTAGTGCATTATAATTTTTTTAAGTATACATAATTATAATAATTAATAGCTAGGATGCAATTTTTTTATTTTTCTTGAATACTAATGTAGGTATTTCGCTAATTTTTTAACAAAAAAATACAATATTCAAGCGCTTACGGAAACTCGATGCACTTGTTATTAATATTATTATTATTTTTTTACTGCTCGTCTTTTAACGTCATCGTAGCTCTTTACGTCAGACTTATTTTATATTCGCTTTTTAACCAGATCTATATCACACGAACTTTGTTACTATCACCTCGAAGCGCCACTAAATAACTGTTGTTTTACGGTTTTTTAGTTGTTTTTGTTATCTTTTCGCTTTTGTAAAAGTGATAGGAAATATTGTGGTAACTGCAAATAATTAATTTATTCCTTCAAAGTATCTAAAGCGTCCGATTGTAATTACTCGGCATCCACAATCTGTTTATACACCGTTGGATCTTCCGTTGCAGTCGATGCAAATTTACACTTATGAAATAATTATTGCAAATGAAGTCATGATTTTTTATTTCTTCTTTACTTTGGTACCTAGTCGTATTATATCACACGAGCGTTTCGTTTGTTTATTATTAAAAAAAAAAAAAAAATCTTATTGGATTGTAGTTGTACTTCCATACGTACATCGCTTCCGTTTGTAAAAATAACACAACGAACCTATACCGCGTAAGATCCATCATCATTATTGTAAATTAACTAAATAACATTATGTAGGCACGACAACCGTAAGGGTAAAGTGCATGGTAAACTTTTCACCGTCTTTTTTTTTAGTATTATACTTTTATTACATTTAAAAAACTATCGTGTAACATTACTGATATCTCGTTGACGACGCGTGCAACTTGCCACTGCTGAACCAAGACGTTTCAGTAGTTTGAAAAAGAGCAACTTTTTTGATATTTATAAGTCGTGTATATACATATACACCTACGTCTTTGTCGGAGGACGCATGTATTTGCTTTTGCAACAGATCATTAAAAAATCGTTTTGTTCCAAAATAGAACAACGTACCCTTAACACTACGCTTCTCCTTCGCGCGTCCAATTGATTGTTCATGTATTTACATAGTACGACAATTATACGTATATATACCAATTGTTAAAAAAAAAAAAGAACTTTGTGGCACGTGTCAAGCTTGAGGAACACATTTCACTGTGAAATATAGGGTAAACATATAATCGATGAAAAAAAATAATTAAATAAAACGTCACTTGGCAAATTTACACACGTATACATAGGTGTAACTAGTTAACGATGTTCCTCTTCAAATTTTTTTACGCACAAACCTCACGCATACAGTCAGGATGACGTTTGTTCAATGTAACGCGTATATTATATTACATGGTCCCTCTCGTTCGCTGAACTGCTTCACACGTACACAAACACACTCACATACACACGCGTGCGCGCACTAATTGTCCATTTTAAAAGTGATCTTCCGATGACGATCGAGTGTTCGTTGAACATCCGGATAACGCAGGATTAGGCGGGAACAGCGCGACGCTGTATTTTCTTTCTCTCTCGGCTACAATATTCTCCCGTGCACGTACAGTTGCGTGTATAACATGTAGTGGGAGTTGATTCTAGACTTGCGTGGCTTGAACACAATCCGCGTCGCGCTCCGTCTCTCAGTCCGCCGCGTCCGGCTCGTCGTAGTGCGAGAACTTGAGAAACACCTGCTCCAGCGTCGTCTGGCTGAAACTGTACTCCTCGATGTCCAACTCCAGCTTGGCTGAAAAATCAATAGAATCTCCATGAATTCGCGTACCGAGGTGGATTTAAATTCATTTGGTACTTTTTGATTGGGCACAGTAGTCACAAAGGAAACGAGAAATTTGAATAAACTGAACCTTGTTCCATGTAAAAATTGAGTGATTGAAAGGTACAAACGTCATAAGTACGACCCCTTGAGGTAAAAATCCAAACGAATATTATGTACCTTTTTCCAGCTTGGTGAAGCATTCGGCCAGCGAATGCACCGAGTGCTGGGGCACAGCGAACACGAGCCTGTCGGCGAAGCTCTCCTCGAGGGTCGCGGCCGCGAACATGTCCGTGACGAACTCCCTGAGGCAATTGACCCGAGTACCCGACGGCGTGGTCGGGGTGCAGTCCCCACCCAGGAGCTTCATCTCCAGGGTATAACCCGCCCCGTAGAGGTTCTTCAGGTGCTGGGTCGAGCCGATGCACCGCAGCTCGCCCTTCACCATTATACCGACGCGCGAGCACAAGGCGTCCGCCTCCTCCATCGAGTGCGTCGTCAGGATCGCGCCTCTACCTCCCTGTATCGAAGGAAAAAAAAAAAAAAGAGAATTATTTGTGTATACACTCGTTTGTGATATTTCACGTCTCGTCACCTGAAAGCTAGCGAGTATCGTGTCCCAGAGGAACCTCTTGGAGCGCGGGTCCATGCCGGTGCTCGGCTCGTCCATGAGCACGACCTTGGGCCCACCTATCATGGCCATGGCGAAGCTGAGTTTCCTCCTCGTGCCGCCCGAGCACTCTTGCGTCTGCTTGTCGGCGTGCTCGTGTATTTGCAGGCCCGACAGGTACAGATCGACGATTCTGCGGTACATACACACACACGTATGATATTTTATTTACATTATCGTCCCAAGACACAACTCACACACCTGTTGATCTCGGTGGAGGGCACGCCCCGTATGGCAGCGTAGCACTGTAGGTGCTCGCGCACCGTGATGTTCTTCCATTGGGCGTCGTGTTGGGGACAATAGCCCATCTGCCGGAAGGCCTCGGACATGTGCGAGTTGATGTTGTGGCCGCCCAGCTGGACCCTGCCCCGGCTCGCTGCCTCCTCGGCTATGATGATCTTCATGGTCGTGGTCTTGCCCGCCCCGTTGTGCCCCAACAGCCCGAGCACCTCGCCCGGCTCCACGGCCAACGACAAGTTTCGCACCGCTATCTTCTTCGTCGGTGGTGGCTGTTGTTGTTCCTCGCGCTTGGTGCAACAGCTGCACGTCGTCATCTCCACCTGGCGGTACTCCTTGCGCAGGTTCTGTCAATGGGGCGTGAATGAGTTTGGGATCGTGGACGAGGGCGCATGCATACACACACGTACCTGGACCATTACGACCGGGGGCTCCTGTCCGGCCGAGGAGCTGGTCATGATGTTGAACACCTTCTGCCTCTCGTTCTTCACGTCCGAGTCCTCGTGCTCGCCCACGTCGTTGTTCTCCATGATCTCCTCCCCCACTGAGCTACCGTTGCGCTGCGGGACACGGACATTTTCATGCTACCCTACTTTTTTCTTTTTCAATCATAAGCACACGGTTTAAAATTTACCATGAAGTACTTGAAGAACTCCTTGACCTTGCCCCCGCTCTTCTTCGTGTCGAGGAGCATGAGCACGAAGAACCAGAGCGGGCAGTGCAGCATCACCCCGAGCCCCATCACTATGATCTCCCAGGTCAAGTAGTCGAATATGCTCAGGTGGTGGCAGGTCGTGTTTATCGAGCACATCAAGTGGACTCGGTCGATGTAGTAGAGCGCGGCGTACGGCACGTACATCGTGTTGCACAGCGAGAACACCACGTGTAGGGCGAAAGCGGCCACGCCACCTGAAAAACAATGTTTTTTTTTTTATAAACAAAAGAGGGTGGCCAACAAATTGGTATAACAGATAATAGTCGAAGCGAGACTCACCGACGCCGAGCATGTCGAGTATCATGACGAGGAGGAAGGGTATGAGTCCGAAGAAGGTGGCTATGTTGGGGAGGAAGCTCTGGGCCGAGTCCATCTTGTCGAACATGTAGGCGAGACAGGTGGAGAAGAAAATGGAGGCCGGACAGTAGAGCATGATGAGGCCGCCGAGGGTGAGGAGGGCCGGTATCTCCTGCAGGGATGGCACGTCGAAGAGGAATATGATGCCGAGGATGCAGACGCATATGAAGCTCATGAGGCCGAGCAGCACGACAAAGTACGTGAAGAAGTACATGGTGAAGGAGAGGCCGTTGACGCGCAGTTGGTTTTTCGCCCGGATCTCGCGGTCATAGACCATGTCGACGGCGAGGGTTATGGGCACGAGGACGAGGTCCATGCCGATGAACAGGGACGAGCTGGCTATGCCGATGTTGAACTCCTGGGGCTGGGACGTCTGCTGGAACGGGTGAGTCTTGACGCGGATGGGCGACGTTTGCTGCCTGTCGCTCAGTAAACTGGAACATTTTACGGTTTTTTTTTTTTTTTTTTTTTTTTTTTTTTTTTTTTTTTTTTTTTTTTTTTNTTTTTTTTTTTTTTTTTTTTTTTTTTTTTTTTTTTTTTTTTTTTTTTTTTTTTTTTTTATGTTGCTATGCTTTTCTTGTCTGTTATTAACAAATGTAATTGATTTTATGTTCAAGCCAATTTTTAATATGAAACCGGCTTACTTGTAGAACGCGTTGGTCAGGACGTTCACGATAATAGGCAACGAATGTTGCATCGTGTCGTTGTACATGACCGTGAGGTTCATCCTCGAGGCGTTGTAGCCGGTGACATTCAGCACAGCCATGTGGGGAGCGCGGCGCAGCAAATTCGCAAACGTACCGTCGTACTCGTCCATGGGACCCACCATCCTATTGACGTTGCCCACCAGACCCGACAGATCCCGGCCGGTGCTGTTTATGTACATCACCCGCGTGTCGTCCCCGTAGCTGTCTGTAAATCACGAAACTCGTAAAACAACAAATAATCAGCTCACAGCTTTTACAGGAGTACGAATTTTTATTCATCGGCGAGCAATTAATTTACGAGTCACTCCTGTCTCTCGCATACCGAGCAAAAAAAGAGAGATCGGCGTACCATTGTTTAGCTCGAGGCTCTGCATCTTGATCTCGACGGTTTGTATGCTGTTGAGGTAGAGGCCGAGAACGACGAGGGCGAGGGGCGCGACAATGGTGAAGTACAGCTGCTGGTAGTTGCGGAAGAAGCGCAGCACGCGGAGTCGCAGCATCGCGCAGAACGTTTGCATGATCTTGGGCTCGATTTTCACGGGATCGAGGCCCAAGCCGAGGATTGTCGGGCTCTTGTCGTTCTGCGAGCCCCCGTCCAGTGTGTCGTTCGAACCTGCTGCGATGAATTATATAAGGAAAAAAAGGCTCGCTTGCGAAGGATACATTTATCGGAGTTTTTGTGCACGCATGAAATTTTTTTCTTTCTTTTTTGTGTAATTGCGTGGATCAACAAAACTGTACAGTATCAAGCTGCTTCGGTGCTGTGCGGTCAACGTTTGCAAACTATAATTTTTGCTTTTGTACAAATTACAGCGAAAAACAAGATGCCCTTAATCAAGCACTACGATATAGATACATCAGTGGAGAAAAAATAAAAAAAGTTCAATCTTCGAAATACCTCTCGCATGCTTCGGAATCAAAATACTACCATACTCAAGCCTCATTCTCGGCAACGTCAACTGCCCCTTGTAATCTACGTTTGGTTGCGTTGGTTGCAAAACGGAAACACACAAAATGCCACGTACAAGTTTTTTTTTTTTTGTTTTGGAAAGACAACTCTACCTTCATTACCACTACTTTGTAACTATATGCTATGACTTTAAAAACGTGACACTCGATGAGCACATGAAATGTAAAATGAAAATAAAACCATGTCACATCACACTATATATACCCTTGTGGCCTTAGAAGAACCAAAAAAAAAAAAAAAAAAAAAAAAAAAAAAAAAAAAAAGTAATCGTACACAGCTACTGCCAGAAGGTGTACAAAACCCGGTCCAACGTACTACTCGTACGGTAAATCGGATAGGGGATAAATAGAACCTAACGACCATCCAAAATGACCATCATGTAGTCGAGCAAACGAACCTTTGATCTGTGCCTCGCTCTGCATGACGTTGACGCCCTCGTTCTGGAGGTTCTGGTAGGACGCGCTCTTGGACTGTAGGGAGAGTGACCGGCCTAGCGCCCGATTGCGCACCATCTTCTTCGACAGATTGTCCATGGTGCACTCGGTCTCCTCATCCTTCTCCAGGTGCAAGAACACCTCCTCCAGGGTCGTCATCGACACCCCGTAGCTGCTGATGCCCAATTTTTGCTTCCTCGTCCTTATCTCGTCCTCGATCGCCGAGAACAGGGCCGCGAAGCTCTCCACCGAGTTGTGCGGCAGGATGAAGCTCAGCTCGCGCCCGTGCCTCCGTGCCTTCTCGGCCTTGGGCACGTGCTGGGACACCATGCGGCTGATGATGCCCTCCTTGGGGTTTCCCTCCAGCACGAGACTACCATTTTTCCACGCGATCAAAATGTAAATAATCGTGTACATTGGGTATAGGAAAAAAAATAAAAAAGCTATGGGGATGACTCACGTGAGGTGGTAACCAATCCCGAACTTGTTTTTGAGAAATAGCGAGCTGCCGCAGCAGCGGAGCTTGCCTTTGCTAACGACGGCCTTTCGATCGGCCAGTATGTCCGCCTCGTCCATAAAGTGGGTCGTGAGGAGTATGACCTTGCCGTGACGGCGTGACTGTAGGAACGACCACATCTGCCGTCGCGAGTACGGATCGACGCCGGCAGTTGGCTCGTCGAGGATTATGATCTTGGGATCGCCGATTATGGCTATGCCCACCGACAACTTTCGCTTTTGGCCGCCGCTCAGGTACTTGGCGAACGTGTCGGCCTTCTCCAGCAGGTCTATGTCCTTCAGGGTCTTTTTTACCTTTTTGCATAGAACGAGGGTCAGTCGAAACAACGCTTAATCCTCTATTTGTGCCATTGCTTTTTTCACCAGAGCCAAAAGTATTAACTGGCAGTACGAATGAGTATTTATACGCACCGAAAATTGCTATATGACCTTTTTTATACGATAAAACATGTACCTACACACTTTCTTTTAAGAAATAATGAAAAACTTGAGATGGCAAAAAAATGACTAAATAGTACTGGAAACTTTCAAATGAAAAAACTATAGGTCGTAGCATCTGGTTTTTTCTTGTCAAACAATTTATAATGGCAAAATAACCCAAAAAAACGCGAAATTTCGGCCGAGAAGCCAGCAAGAGCGAACGAAGCAATGATGCAAAAAGGCCCTCACCTCGTGCTCGATCGTGCCGTGCGGTATTCCCCTGACCGCGGCAAAGAACTCGAGGTGCTCGCGGGGCGTGAGCAAGTCGAAGAGTATGTCGTGTTGGGGACAGACCCCGGTCATGCTGCGTATGATGTGCATGTCGTTGGAGTCGCGCACGTCGTAGCCGAATATGAGGGCCGTGCCCGCCGTGGGCGAGGTCAGGCCCGTCAGGATGTTGAAGAGGGTCGTCTTGCCGGCCCCGTTGTGGCCGAGGATCGCCGTGATCTGGCCCTCGTAGATCGTCAGGTTGATGCCATTGACGGCCTTGACCTCGGGCCTCCGGCACTTGCTGTACGACTTGTACAGGTCGACGATGCGGATGGCCTCGCGGCCCTTCATCTCGCGCACCACCGGCTCGACGTCGCGGTTCGCCTCCTCGCCGCCGGTGAACGAGTTGTGGCTCGGCTCGAAGCTATTCGTGCTGCCGGCTGCCCCAACGCCCACGCTGGTGCCACCCTCGCCTCCGCCGCTCGACGTCTGGCAATTATCATCAGTAGCAGCTATTCGTATCGTCGGCTTAAGTGCCTGATGGTGCGCAGAGTGCTCGGTCGTGCAGGACGACGCGTCTACGGTCGCGGTCGCGGTGCTATTAACGCGCTCTTTCGAACTTACTCTCGGTGCCTTGTTCCTCCTGCACCAGAAGCCCAGGGTGAAGCAGAACCACGGCGGTCGTTTCACTCCGTACTCGCCTGCAAGCATTTTTTTTTTGTTTTTTTTTTTTTTTTTTTTTTTTTTTTTTTTTCCTTGTGATGTCCATCCAATTGAAACACTCACTTGGGATGACCGAGTCGAGGTAGTAGGCCAGCAAACCGTACAGAAATATGTCCAGGGTCATCATTATGAGGCTCCCGCCGAACGGGATCCCGGGGCCGGACCACAGATTGTCAAAGTTCACGCCCTCGCCTTGCAAGTCCAAGACGAGAGCCTGGAGGAAAATACATTTTTTTTTTTTTTTTCATGATTTCTTTTCGAGAGAAAAATATAACATGTCTGGTTGTTCATTTCCCCTTTTTTTTTTGTTTGATTACCTAGCCCTCGTCGTTTTCATTTATTGTAAAAATAGATGAATTAATCGATGCTCGTTATCGATATTTACATATAATTGTTGGGTTCTTTGGTGATTAATTAGTTACGCGTGGCTTTACCTTGTCCATAGCCAGAGCGACCCCCGTAGGACTGAGTAACGATACGATCCAAAAGGCCACGGAGCTCGAGTCGTCGACAAACACCTGGATGAAGTACATGAGGCTCAGAATCGTCACCGCAAAGTTGCCCAGCACACCAGCGGTCTGTTTCAAACAGAGGAAAAAGAACATGTCTTTTTTTTTTTTTTTTTTTTTTTTTCTTTTTGTTGCCCTCTACGGTGTCAAAGTGTGCAACACTGTACTTACGCGTGACTTGTCGAAAAAGGGCGTTATCATGAAGGCAAACATGATGACGGAAAAACTGTAGAGCACGACCAGCAGGAATATAGGCAGGAAGTGCGTGTGCTGGAACATTTGCAAGGTGAAGAGTAGAACGACGGCAACGGCCGACAATAACAGTACGAAAGCTCCGTAAATGATGAACCACGATAACCTGCCGATCGGAAAGTACAATTGTACATCATTGGTGTAATATTACTTAATCGATTTAGAAAGAAGAAAAGAAGAAAAAAAAAAAAACAGAGTGTTGCTTCGTACCAAAAGACCGAGTCGTTGAGGCCCATGATCTTCATGCCCTCCTTTATTTTGTTCTCCTTCTCGCCGACTATCAGTATCAGTAGATATGTTATGAATTGCGACAAGGCCAGCACCATGTACAAAGGAATCACAACCCTGAAGGCGAGCATCCAATCTGAAAACAATGGTACAATGATACAACTGCACGTACGGGTGAAATGGTGAAATATTTTACAGACAGTGGTATTGTTTGACAACAATAATACCGGATGGGATAAAGTTAATACCTGCTGTGTACGCTTCCTTGGGAAACATCTCGAGTTTAATGTCCGGCACGGTGATGTCGTTATTACCGGTATCCAGCTGACGAAAATAAGGAAGCAAAAAAATCATCAACCAGCTACCTTTGAACATCGTTACGTACATACATTAGTACAACATTATTAGTGGGGGGCGTACTCTAATTTTCGTAGTGTCCATCATCAGCTGCAGGGCCATGAAGCCGGATAAAAAATAATTGTTGACGGGACACGAGCCGCCGGTCTCTATGGACAGTACACCGCTCATCCAGTGGCTGGTGTCTTTGCGGCAGGTCACCGGCGAGGAATACATTTCGGTCGGCGACGGAGGCGACGTGTACGAAGGATTCGTCCTTATCTCGTATCTGTTGAGCGAATATATTCATACGCGATACATTGAGGGTACGGATAACAATTGCTGCGTATGTAAAATGTTGGTGTGTCGTCCGAAAGTTGAATCGAATGGTTATTTTTGTGTTTACATGTATGAATTAATACGAAGCTTACAGTAAACGACTAGAAATCGGCTGAGGGTCCTCGAAGATGACCGCCATCGGTATGCTGTTGGGCTCCCTCCAATAGGCGGCTTGTAAGTCGTCCTTCGACTCGAAAACGAGAAAATTCAGGGGGTGCTTGTTCGAGTAGTCCAACATCGACATCCACAGGGAGTTCATTGAGTTTAAAAAATTCTGAAATTTACGATACTTGGGCGTTTTTTTTTCTTTTCTTCTTTTATTACTTTCAAAGAAAGGATCATTTTATAAAAGGACTCACAATAGTTTCCGTCGAATTGGGCACTACGGCTATCGTGTTGTTTTTGTAACTGCTAAAAAACTCGAAAATGTCGCTCGTCTCTTGCCTCTGAGTTGTGATTGCGGGGTAATTTGGATTGGGTATCAAAACTTTGACCACAATTAGTATTCCAAGGATGTACAGGGGCAGAAATATCTCCTGAAAATTCAAATTGAAAGTTTCTCTTTGAAGAAGCCGAGAACGTTATTTTTTAAAGTGTAAGTTGTAAACGGTGTATACGCTGCTACAATAATGTGTGTCCCTGAAAATCGGTGAAAGAATCTATTTGGACATGTATACTTTTTTTCAAAAAACCTAAACAGTTTTGCTTTTGGATTAAAAAATTTTTTTTTACTGTAAGGTCAGCTCAGCATTTTTACTGTTCTTTTCATTACATTTTTCTTCTTCGATGTTCACCTAATAATGGATAGGTTTGGTATTTTTAAATGTTTAATTTGTTTAACCTTACATATCAATTCCTGGTAACTACCACAATACATAAAAATATCTGGCGGTATTTTTCCATGGCGATATTCAATAGCTGTCTTAATGACCCCCCAACCATTTATTCCGCTACATTTGTTGACAGCTTTATTATTTGTCTTTGTACACTAATTATTTATCTTCTCTACTTTCGCAAGCTCCACATGTTACGTATATTTGTTAGTCTTGCCCATTGATCCTTCATTTTTTTTTTTTTTTTTTTTTTTTTTTTTTTTTCTGTTCGAGTAAGTACTTTTTTTCCGCAATTTCTCTCTTACCATTTTCATAATTTTCATTGAATTTTAACCCATCTGTTTTCAACTAATTTAATTTTTTTTTATCTAACGCCCCTTCACCTTTTCTTAGTTTTTTTTCTTGAACATCTTCCATTTCCGTCCCTTTTTCATTAAAGCTTCGGTACTTCCTTGTTCCCACACCTTCGAGCGTAGCTTTTTTTAAATAATCCATTTGCTTTCACTCACTATAATCTTACATTCTTCCTTATTTCTTCTCTAAAGCATTTTTAAATTTATCTTTTCTTTTTTCCCTCGTTACTATAAAAATTGTATGCTTCATTGTCTGCCCTCCTTTTGGCATGCGATCCCGCACCTTTTTATGTCTCCTTTCTCCCGTTACTATATCTCAACACAATCTTTTTACCCATCCTTTCAATCTCTGCCCCGTTATTTTACCCTCTTGTTTCTATTCCACGAAAATAAGCCGATTTCATCATCATTTTATCCAAGAAATATGGTATTCTTTTTAAATTGTCTACCTTAGCTCTGATGGTTCACCAGTCTTTTTTTTGTTTATTTTTCATTTTTTCCTCATTCTATGCATGAAATCCATACTCATTTCACTAAACTGGAACCAAAAATAATGGCACTCTTTTACCACCAATGGTTTTTTCTTCAAAGCCAGTGTGCATTATATTATTCGTGCTTTTTTTTTTTAATTATTCAAGTAAGTGGATATGTAGCCATAAGGTCTAAGTATACGCCACGGTAACAATCCCACGTACACTCCGCGTTACCATGGAGCCGCAAATAAACTTGGCCTAGCGCTAGCCAACGACCCTCCTTACATCGGTCTACACTCGGTTTTCGATTTCCCTGGTACATCCACCGCGTGTGTGTACATTGACACTCTAACCCCCTTGTCCTCCGCGTAGACCCCGTCCGCAATGTCGTAAGTGGATCATGTCATTTTTCGTGGACGTGGTGAGCGAGGACTCGTTCTACGAGAATCTGACCCTCGGAGTGACGCGGGTCCTCGAGGCGAACCCCTGCATAAAGGACGTGCGGCTCGAGAGGCGCCCTGCTTGCGACAGGTCCTTCTTGTCCACGTGGGAGCAGAAGCACTGTTGTCTCCTCACCGAGGATCTTCGGAATTTTTACACCTCCACCGATGGCTTTCTCCTCACGTGGAGCCTGCAGATCGCAGGTATGTTTTTTCCCTATTTCATAGTATCCATTTATTTTGCACTCCCAAAGGAATTCTCGATTATTGGTTTTTCATCAGACGACTTTTCCGCTTTTTCATTTTACTAGGATGCTAACGATTTCTCAAATATTCTCGTCCGACACTCTATACACTCTGATTCGGAATCGATTGATCAAGTTACCTATAATACCCCAGCAAAAAAGTTGACACCTTCCATTTTAAAATATTGACTAGTGCACCAAAATTATATCGATCCGCCGTATAGGCAGCGTTTCAATGTTACGTTATTTTTGTCCCATCAATTTTTTCTGGCTTTTTTTTGTCCAATCTATCGATAAAATTAATACGCGCCAACAGCGAAATCGCATCAACCGCCCGCACACGAGCAAACTCGCAACAAACTTTTTCGCTCCGCACGCCAATTTATCGTTAGGGAAAAAAAAAATTAAAACTTCACCGTAAAAAAAAAAAAGTGTCCATTGAAAGCTATTTCCGCGCGCGTACGATGCACTTCCGACGATGAATTTCCCCCAGACTCCATCAGCGGCGAACCCTCCCATTTGTTCCCCCCCACAATTCCACCGAGTGAATCTAAATCACCGCGACTCCCTCTGCGCGAACGGCATCCCTAAAATAGACACCACCACCCATTCTTCTTCCCTCTGACTCCTGGATTACCAAAATAAGTACCTACATATACACGTCACGCGATCACAGGCGAGGAGTTCCCGATCGGCCGTATGGAGATAAAGGAGCTGTCGAGCCTGCGGCGTCACGTAAGCGGTGGCAAGGAGCAACAGACCGACACCGTTGGGGGCAACGCAGCAGCAGCGATGAGCACCGGTACAGCGGTCGAGCCGAGCTTTGGGGGCTCGCGGTGCAAGCTCTTCGAGCTCGCCGACATCGCCGACTGTCGCGTCTTCCTCGTTTACCAGCTGCAGCCCGACCGGGACGAGCCGTCCGTGTGGCTGTACAGCCTCGGCAAGTGTCGCTGGTACCAGCTGGCCGACGACTTTGTCAAGTACTTTCGTATGATGCTCGCCCACCTCGGGCTCCCGCTCTGGCAGATGTGCGCCGTCGGGCTGCAGCTCCCCACGTGGCTCGAGCAGGTCTGCCTCGCTATGTATATATATATATATATTTTTTTTTGCATCCCACTGTCACCGCTCCCCTTGTGATGAATGACTAGCTGGTCTCCGTAGCTTTTTTCTTCTTCAACATATTTAGTAGATAGTGTTGAGCTTTTTTCTTTTTTGTATACAACACTCGGTGTGAGCAGTAACGAAAAATATTACCCAAGTTACCTTGCCCCTTCCAAGCCAAATTAAATCCAATATACCATTTCCATCGCTACAATTATACATTTTTTATACATGAAAAAAAAAAAAAAAAAAAAAAAAAAAAAAAAAAAAAAAAAAAAAAAANATATTATACTGTGATAAAGGGAAAGAAAAAAAAAAAAAAAAAAAAAAAAAAACATGCACACAGGTGTATCTGCTGGTGGGGCCGCATTTGCTGCAATCCGCAGCAGTGCCGGCGACTTCGGTGGAGTCGAGCCTGTGGAACGACGGGCCGATAAACGTCATCGATCCCGCGGTCTTTCGCGGCAAGGACTACCAGCAGCAGCTACAGCCGAGCAATACCTCTGGCAAACAGAAAATCAATTCGAATACGAGCCCTGCGGCGACTACGACTACGACGAGCAACGCAAGGAAAAAGTCGTCGTCTTCCCACTGAGGGAGCCCTGACTGATTGGGACGTATATACTTGTATGTGTTATATGTATCAGCTCTTGCAGTCGTGTGGATGAAAACAAAAAACTTTTGTCTCCGTCATTCCAGCGTTGACGTGCTGGATTGGGTATTTTTTTTTTTTTCATCGTTTTATTAGAAATGACGCTTCGAGGCTATGAAGATTTTTTTAAAATTTATTTTCTCAACCCAACAACGTGTATCGAAGCATGAATTAATCATAAAAAAGAAAATGTGTGCGAACGTACCGCCGTGGTCTTTCGCTTCTCTCGTTTCTTCAGGAGGAGGTTCCGGACGAGCATGGCTCGCAGCTGGGACAGGTACACCCCGCAGGAACCCATTCTGAGCTCTTCCGCTTCAGTCAGTATCTGGAAACACAAGAAAGAGAAATAACGCTCGTTTACGTATACATTTGTTGGTACACGTGGAATTCAAATCATACAATCAAGTACACATGGATTGTTATGTCATCTCTGACGATGAACACTGTTGCGTAACAGTATAGTAATGCTTGTGGTCGTTACACTTGGCGAATTAAAATTGTCGCGCTATTGGATCCCAACGACCGTAGTCATTGTGTTAAAATTATGTAAAAGTGTAACAATAAAGCTGACAAAAATATCCTTTTCTTTCGTTTTCATCTTCTCTACTCTGATTCTCGACAACGTCAAATAATGGCGACTCATGGAGTAACGTTTGCTTGGAAATAAATTTGATCATCACCTCTCGGGAGGGTAGCGAATGATCATTCGATGGAGACGCCAATAAAGATAGACACAGCAAATAAAGTCGGAGGCAATCAAAGTGTCACCGCGCGTAAGGGGACACGAGCTGGAAATGATCGTAAACTCATGTATACGGACGCAGACGGTCCCGTGGGGTAAGGCGTATATGTTTGTATGTATCGTCGGACGTCGCGCTTGAAAGGGTTTTGACTTTTTTTCCTGTCTCTTTTTTTAGAGGCCATAAAAAATTTTAATCCGATCCCAGAGCTACTCCTACGGATGCATGCACGTATGGATATTTGCTACCCCTTTTTTTACAGAGAATTAATTATTATAGCAGGTCGATGTCCCAACGAACTGTATATTAACCCGTGAGTTTATCGATTAATCTTTCTATTTCTCGTACGCGAGTGACAGAATGCGTATTTATTAACTTTTTGCACTAAAAAAGCACTCCATCAATCTAACATGAATAAACAAACTAGTAAATAAACGAAACAAAAAAAAACTGTATTAGCATCTTTAAAATCAAATACAGCTTTCGATTCAACGTGATGTGTCACAGACTGCTATATTGCAAAACGTCGTATACCAAGGAAGTGACGACGGATCAGCTTTGCCAAATGCAACTTACGAGACGATAAAAAGTATATGGCAAGTTGAAGCGTGCGCGGGTCTATGTAGTCAAATAACGGCGTAAAATGCGTTAACAGGTGTGCCGGAGTGGCTGAATATGTCGTAGTGACATAAACATCGAGAAGTTCAATCTTTGTCGCTTGCTGCGTTTTTTAATTCTTTACTGTACTAAAATTTGTAGGTTGGAGTAAATTGTTTCAAAATAATTTTCAAGACTATTTTTTTCACGGTTTTCGTCACTGAAAGCAAAAAAAAAAAAAAAAAAAAAAAACCAACCTTTATACTAGCTCATTCTATGGACATTTTTAAGTTTCTTGAACTTCGCGATATATCTAACATTGTATGTTTACAAGTTATGAACGAATATTCAAAATTTCATGTGAGTTTATGTTGGATACAAAGCTTATTAAAATGTATCGTCCTGCTTCAAGTTAGGCAGCAGGCAAAATTTATTATACATTTTTAGTACAATTAAATGATTTATTTATAAACTTTTAGAGGTGCTATTTACACGATTATTTTTTAAATTAATTTTCATACGTATTTCTTGATGAAAAAAAATAAAAATAAAAATACAACTCTTCAAAAGTGCTCGGTTGACATTGTCTCTCATTTTGTAGATGGAAAAATTACTGAATTGGAAACATTGAAATCAATGAATTTCGAACGAATTCATACTCTGATTCCTGATAAATGATAATCCTGAATGTCGCCCGATTGCTTTGCAAAAGATGCAGGTAAACACAATAGAAAAAAAAAAAATTGTTTGAACGAAACACAGAGAGGGTAGCAGAGGGATCGTTGTCATTTTGAAATATTAAAAAAGCATCGACCGAGCATCGATTGGCCCACAGACAATACCCCCGGAAAGAGCCACGCAAAGAAAGATTAGAGCCCGAAATGGAGGGCAAAAAGTAGACCGATGACATTCAAGTCCTCAAGACACGCCATCCCAAGCCTCGTCGTTTTCCCTTTTACACACGGTCAGTGAGCGTAAATAGTCTGTCGGAGTGTGTCGTCAGTCCATACACACCAAACACACACACATAGCCGAGGAAGGCTGTACCGGGGGCAGCTCGTATAGGAAATAAGGGATAAAAGGAACCGGGGAGCCAGTTTGCAACGACTCCAACCCCCCCTCCTCCCCCACGACCACTTCCTCCGTGGGTATACACACACACACACACACACACACAGAGAGAGAGTACCCGTAACTGTGCAGGTGGCGCACACCACACGAGGCCGCGCGAGTATCGACCGGTGAAAATGTGGGCGGGGGGTCGGGGACGCAACCAGCCAAGTTACCTTATATACCCAACCCCGCTAGGTTTAGTTGGTACACGTACTGCCTGGCCTTTCTTTCCTTCTTCCTCCCCTTCCACCTCAACCCTCCATCCCTCGCGTCTTTTCGTTCCACCCACCCACCCATGCACACACATGGGACGGGACTCGAAGAGACGTCACGCGATGTTGTATCATATACACACGTTGAGCGGGGGAGGGTTGGGTTACACATGCACGTACGTGGGTAGGCGCGCGCAGAGGCCACGTGAGAAACGACGGTGTGTATAAGCTATGATCGTACACCCTCCATAAACACACACACGCACACGATGCTTCCTTTTTGTTGACGTGTTACACGATATCTGCGTAATTCAGCAGCAGACCAACCCCCACCACCCCTTGATCTTCTTATACGTACGCACCCCTTTTTTTTTAATTTTTACTCGCACTTTTTTTAGCCCTTGACGGGGGGGGGGAGGAGGGTATGGTGACGTAAGCCACGAGCTCACCAAAGAGCAAGTAAACGTGCGTGTTTATAAACACACACTTTGTCCCCTTCCGCTCCTCTGATGTATAACGTACATGTGGTTCGGTCTGCCGAAAACGGCCTGGCACTACTTATTCGGCGCCCACCTGTGTATTCTCGCGTACGTGTACCATATACGAGCGCGCAGTACACAGTCGAGAGTCGGGGAGCCGGTTTGCTCCGGTTAGTTTCAACTGGGCCATTTATTATTACACACAGTAAGGGCCGCTGTGCTGTACGCGCCTTTGGGCTACCGTCGGGCAGTTTACTCGAGTAAAATGTAAGGTATGTAAATATATGGATATTGCGGAAATAATTCGGTAAAAACAATAGAAACTTTGTCTTTGACGCAACAAACGACAACGCCAATCATCGAGGAAGCCCCGAAGGTACCACAAGGCAGGTTATACACAATACACCCCCCGAGCGCGTAAACAAAGCCCCGGCACGCACATATTGTTTGAGCGGCGAGAGAGAGAGAGAGAGAGAGCCAACCGAGCCAAACAAAACAAATGTATTATACGCGCTTGTGACAACGATTAACGATGCATATACCCCTTCGTTTATACATTTGGCAAGACACGTTGCATGATATTAGCAGAGAGATCGGAGCACCCCCCGCCCATAATATACGGTGTCGCGAGAATTTCACTCATTTCGACCCCCCATGGTTTGCGAAAATAAAAAAATAAAAAACCTTCCGTGGTCATGGTGGTGATCGATCCTCCCCCCCTCCTCCTATACACACCGCTGCTGCCTTGGCGAAGGACGCCATCGATCGTCGGCAGTAGGTACGGTACATCGTAGGTGGTTCGCCGCTGCCCCCGAATGTTCCGCATCGGCCCTCCTCGACGAGACGCACCGTACAGCTGCACGGGGTTGAAAGGGAAAGAAAAAAAAAAAAAAAAAAAAAAAACAACCCCCCGAGAGAAGGGTGTATATACATATACTCCGAAAGGTAGGGAGGGCTGTCCCCCCTCCTACGCTGACAAGGGGGTGGCAGTGCACAGAGCGTGCATTGTAAAATCGATGCGAGAGCCTCGCGAGCGGCTTTGAGTCGGGAATCCCTCTGCCAGCGGATCGGACGCAGCGCGACTTTAGGTGATCGATCGGCACATGAAGACACGTCCACTGCCGGGACGAACGAACGAACGGAGGGAAAAAAAAAAAAAAAAAAAAAAAAAACACGTTACCTTGGCCTCGCCTTCGGCACTGCGCCTCTCCGAGAAGATATCCATCAGCCGGCTGCCCTCATCGAGCGGAGTGACTGCTGGCCGCGCTGCCTCTACGGCGACTTCGGTGGCCGCCAGCCTTGACGAGGACCTCGTCGTCGTTGCTGTTGTTGCGGCTCCAACGACAACAATAGCCAACCTCGCTCCTCCCGTCGTCTCCTTCTGCCTCTTCTTTTAGCTTGTAGTAATAGCCGGGCCCGCGCACTCATGCCCCGTAACAATATTTCCGACACCGCGCTCACAGACACACAAGCACATGCACACGCGCGCACCACCAATACCCACCCAAACACCCTTATCTTTCCAACCCCCTTTCCTTCCTTTCCTATCTTCGGACGGGCGCGTTCACCTCCCGCTGATAGTGGTCGTGTAGTAGTCGGGCATGCTGCTGTCGGACCACCCCCTTGCTTTTTTTTTTTTTTTTTTTACCTGCAGGTACGACGGAGCATCTTTGCCGATGTACCGCGCGGCCACGTTTACGCCAGCACTGTCAGTGGTACGTACTGTGCAGCGACAATCCACGGGGAACGTGTACAGAGTGCGTCGGAAGTAATGGGCTGCAGAGCGTGGTAAAGATAATAGTGACAGGCAGGGGGGGGTGAGCCGAAGGGGAGGAAAGAGCTCGAGGGGTGCGGTGTTAGCGCTCGTCGGTCAGCGACGACCAGCGACGCCAGACTGCGGGGGAATAGAGAGCGGCACTGACGCACAGAGATGCTCGGGAAGCCGAGCCGGTGCTCACTGCGGCTGCGTCGGGGGATTTCGGACCTCCACCGGCGCCCAGCGAGCGGTGCTCGTGACGTATAGTCGGCTGCTGCGACTGCTCATTTCCCCCCCCCCCCCGACTTTTTTTACGATTAATACACTGGGTGCAACGAAAAAAGTGCGCCTTTCACCCTTTTTCTTAAAAGGTTTTTACGTGGACATCCGCGTGATGGAGGTTTTCCGCGCTTTTGCTCATGGCGTGGGGGGTAAGAAGAGGCTCCGATGCTTTTTTATGCGCGTGTAATAATAAATGCCAGCTAGCTCGTGTCGCGTCGTCGGCCGTTGCTCCGAATCGTGTCGCGCGCGGCTATTTTCAGGTGTCATTTCGTGGCTTATCCGAACTTTTGGTGCGAGAACGCAGGATCGGCTACCAGAGTATATACCCTACATAGTAGAGCGCGTCTTTTGGTCTCTTTACTTGCGACTCGAGCGTTTTGTTTACTTTCGTGAGCTTCTCGTAAACTAAGTGGGGTTTTTTTTTTTTTTTTTTTTTTAATTCAATTCATATACTTATACTGGCAAGAGAAGTAATCTTTTAACCGATGTTTTTTTTTTTTTTTTTTTTCAAGAAAACTGTTAACATTTGCAACATTTTCATTTTTTTTACCATATACTAGCAGAGCTACTATGAGGGATTCAACGTTCTTAGCTCATACACGTTAGTAAATTAAGTCCTTCGCTACCTCCCGTATACTTAATCATACAATATCATCGTTTGGATTCCAAAAAATCTTCACTGTTTAGGTTACTAAAAGCGCAATTTGTCTTCGCGGCACACAAATCGATCGCGCAACTATTCTCGATAAAATCGCCAACCATTTTTTTTTTCCGCCTTTGTAGTACATATATGCTCGGTATTGTGCAACTGTCGGACGTGTGCAAGTTGAAAAGTCAACATCGTTAGAACACCTCGACATTCACGGGAAAACAATGGCATATACTGAGGCGACAAAACATAATTCTCTCTTTTTTGTTCCCGATAAGTATCTCTATCGCCTTCGTATCCAAACGTTACGTAAAATTATCGCTGTCGGACAGATTCACCAATAATGATAGCTTTAGTTGTCATACCAAAAAAAAAGAAAAATGAAAAACTACTATATGTCTTTTGAAAATAAAAGACCCAACGACTCTTTTGTCACGCTCTCGGGGAAAAACAAAAAAATTAATTCTCGAGAGTTTCGCAAACGCGTTGGGTGTACTTGAGTACTCGCAACCCCATCCGAAACAGCTGCTCCGTTTGGGCATCGCGTGGCACACGAAAAATTCCACTATTATACACCATTATCTGGCAACTCATGTATCTGGATATGTATATTGCATGTTATGTCAGGGAGTTTGTGAAAATCGATTTTCCGAAGGAACGGACCATCCTGAACGACTTTTTCCCTTTTTTTCCAAAGAAATACATGGTTGCGCAAAAACGCCAGCCCACTCGTTTCGATGCCTTTCAAGCGCACCGAGGCATCCCCGTTAATGGTTTTCTTCACGAAAACAAATTTTTTCCCGCTCAATAGAGCTTCCAAGGAAATAAAACCCCACTGTTTATTCGCGTTAACAAAAGCAATGCTCCCAATGGCACTTGGCCAGAAAAGCTCTTTGATTATTCAATGCGCGTGAAATGCCAATGATTAATTCACATGCGTACCCTATACAGCGTATACACGTGACGCTTCAATATTAAACTAGCGGCGGGTGTTGAAATCAACGTGTGCGGGATACACAAAAGTTATTTATCGGCAATATCCGGGACTACTTGTTATAGCTTATACGTCAGTGCCTGCACCTCGTTTCACCTTCCCGTTAAAATTGCACGGTATCCCAGAGTTGTAATGACCGATACGTGGATATATTTTGCACAAACACCACAACTCGAGAAACGAGTCGAGGAGGACACTTGTCGCCCGAAAGGTCTGAAAATACACACATCCGTCCATTTGGGAGTGCCATAGGTAACATGACTGTACACCCGTATAACTCTGTACGTGCAGAGCACGCTTAGTCAGCTTATTTTTCATCACCTGTGCGCCGTCCAACTATTTATTGTCCGCACCTTCTCTCTCCCTATACATATACTCCCTATACATATACTACACAGAGTTCAACTTTCGTCTATATACCTACATCTATATATGTACGCTATATTCTTTTCGTTATTGACTCGATTTTACGAGTCAAGGGAACGAGGGATCGAAACTTCCGGATTGCGACGAGAGGGGTACAGTTAAGCCGAGAAAAAGTTTGTATTTTATAATACTGCTGACACGTTTAGTATTAGGTAAGTGTAATTGAGAGTATATTTATACTTATTAGAGTGTTGAACAAACTTTGCATTTCTTGCGCATCGGTAGGTGTACAACTGGTAATCCGATCGTTGCCCTAGTCCAGCTGTATACGTATAATAAAATGTAACGAGAACTTGACGGTTATGCAATTACGGCTTATTCGATTGATTGTTTCATGCGCTTGGTGTGTACAAGAGCGCGTCTGTATGAATAAAAAAAAAAAATAAAAAAAAAAAACGTATCCATGTTTTAAAGCCGCAATAATACTCTTGTTGAAATATTCAACAGTTGGACTTTACCCATTGTACACAAGTACATCGATTAATGAAGGATATAATAACCCCTTTCGTGTCTCGTTAGTCTTGTTTTCAGTTTTCTTTACTCGAGTTTGACTATTACACGTTATTTTGTCATTACATCTGTATGCACGTTATAATTTTATGATTCAACAATTTATCAAAATTATTGATTAAACTATCTAATAAGTTGACAGAGTGACCATTACAATCGAGCTCAATTCGATAAAGTACAATGCGTAGTGAGGAAAAAAAAAGTTTTCATTTTTATCTGAGTAAGAACAATAAAACAGCGAAATTGTTATTTTTCTAAATAATTTGGACCGGGGGTTACTCACAAAGTAGTACATTTTTGAACCCACTCGTTCGATCAGTCAAAGGTTATTGATCGTGTAGTTAAATCATAACAAACGCGGTATAGTTTAAAGTCCATACCGACGTAGCGTCAACAGCTGCAGGTATGCAAAATTTCGCAATGTGTCTTCACTGCAGTTTTGTAGTCGGATATAAGTACCTTCACGTAAAAATTTTCAAACTACAGCATATTTTGTAAATTACAGTAGCACACCAAGGTGGAGCATCCAAAATCGACTTTGTTTACTTGTTGGCAACGAGTCTTTATTTGTCTTTCGTAATCTAATTCGTAATATTTTTTCCATCATCTATATCAGCTAAAAATCACATCAGAAGCGACAAGCCATATACTACACACGAATGGAAAATCACCCGCGTACCCCAACCATCGGATCTAATTTCAATTAGCGACAGAGTCCATTATCTTTAGCCGTAAGCTCACGCCAATGACCGATAATGTGGTATCAAGTCACGAGAGCGAATGGCATTCATCAAATGCCGAGTCCTTTATAGGTACTCGAGGTACTCTCGACAGTACATTATATCCTCGGATTAAACGACTCTTTTACGAGCATGGAAAAAAAAAGAAAAAAAAAAAAAATACATTGTACTCAGGTTAACGAGTGAAAAAAAAAAAAAAAAACACCTACGTTTACCATGGGGGCTTTATTGATATAGTTGACCTATGAGCAAGAGATCGGGGAGTCAACGGCGGGTCGAAAAGTTTGTTATTGACGTTCTCTATTACGTGACCTCATTCGAACTTGTAAGCGCTTCATGCGACCTTACGCCAGTTAAATTTCGTTGCAACGGAAAATATTAAATCACTTGTGTAACATAAATAACCTTTGACATACGAACAAAATCATAAATATGAAAAATGTGTAATAATTTAATTGTGATCGGGACATGCGTGCAATAGTTGACGTCACACTGCAAAGCACAATGACGCAGATGCGTGAAATATAATTTTTTTAGGGGATGACTCAGCCCCTTTAGACCCACCCCCTTCCCTCTAAACGGGAGCTTTGCCCCGTGGCCCTGGAAAGAGCTATCGTCTTTGGGCTGGACTGAATAATAGACGAAACCTTGAAATGACCAAACTCATAATCGATGATTACATAAATATGTTGAAGTGTGTACACGATGGAGTGCTTAGCAACACAATGGACTCAAACATTAAACCCATTTATATCCTAATGGCTTCAAATAATATTATCGGAAGTTTTTACACAACCTAATTTACTTACAAAAATTTTATTTCACGTAGCCAAGTTCATAAAAAAGTTATCGGATGTACAAAATTCTACAACATACATTATTATTGTAATTATGTAATAACGAGGGAAGAGTGTGTGTGTGTGTGAGTATATGTACTGAGAATTGTATCACTTTGTAAGCGAGTGTACGTGGAAGTGGCTCAGCTTTGCTTAAGAGTGCTCCGAATCGACTATAGAGCATCTCCTTCGATAGCTCAGTTGGTAGAGCGGTGGACTGTAGTTGGTATGATCAAATGGAAATCCATAGGTCGCTGGTTCAAATCCGGCTCGAAGGAAAATTTTTTTTTGCCAAATTTTTTTACGTTTCCGGTATTTATTCAATCAATATTTTTACAAGTTGCGATTTATCATTTTTTACCGTTACATGTATAAACAATAATGAATTGCAAAAATTTTTTGTTTTTCTCCTTAATTTCTAAAAACATCTGGTGACTGTGATAAGTAATAACAATGAAACAACAACGAATTTATTCCTTACGTTTTCCCATCACGCAGGCAACTAACGATCCTTGAATTTAGAAATAAAATATTGATGCGCAAGTACGTCTGAGCAAATACCTTTTTCCTTTTTGCACATTAGCCTCCACTGTGTGTGCGTCATTGGCAACGGGAGTTTTAATGAAGAATCGATTTTGCACAATGTGTCGAGTCAATTTCTACAATATCGTGTATGCTATTCTAATACATATGTATTAACTTGCACAATTATATTACAATCGATAACACAACATTATCTCGTTATACCATACTGTACTTCCCGAGTCAGTTGGTTAACAAATTGTATAATACAATATCTTATTGTAAAAAGTGTCTATGCTGGCATTTTCCGATGAATAAGTAGCTGTATAAATATTTAACTTATGATAGGAAAAAGCTCGAGTACGCACAATCAGCTCATGTTTATAAAAAAATTGCATGCAAACTTATCATATGTCGCATATGTGCGACTCATATATCGGTTCGCTGAAACTGATCTGCTATGGATAATTTATTATCTTTCATTTGGTCAGATATCTATATACTCATAGTCTACCTAAATACTCGTATGTAGCTGTACAAATACAAAATTCCAAATCTTGTTGTGTTTGATAATTTTTCATACGCCAATTGAGTGCATTTTTGCAATGTTTATTAGAAAGTACTATAATTGGGCTCAATAGATGATTACCTGTACATAATTCAAATACTTACAATACTCGTATCAACGATGAATTTGTCAATGAAAATATACCTATTAGGTTAGCCGTTTACAATATGTTACATAAGAGTTTTATGTAGAACAGAACTGCTATACATGATGTCATGATAACCAAAAGTGGTGGGGGGTGCCGTAAGTTGACCACGTGGGTACTTGAAAAGCAGGTTCAAAAAAATGATCGACCGTGACAGGACTCGAACCTGCAATCTTCGGATCCGAAGTCCGACGCCTTATCCATTAGGCCACACGGTCAGTTGTCAGTGCCATGATCGTAGCGATACATAATCGTCTATCTTTGTTTTTTATTCAGTTTTTTTAGTTTTTACAAATTTTTTGTTCGTACAAAATGATTTTAGTACATTAAAACTCTTAAAATTTACTCATTAATTGCAAATATGCATCTCTATAAAACATTTGAGTTTAATGGAACTATTTGATTCATTGAATTGATTTTCGATTACCGACTGATGGTAAGTTATTGTCAATTGGTATGAGATGAGTGTTTTCCTTGCTCGTTGCTAGTAAGATAAAGAGTATTCGCTCCGAGCCGATACAGAGGTTGCGCCCTCTCTAGCCAAAATCAGGCAACATTTCTTGCATGTAAACAAACAGTTTAGAACATATATACACACGTATAGCTGCTTGTGATTGGCTGAATAAGACAGCAGGAGAGGATCGTCGTTCTCTCTCTAGCTTGCCAAGTGCCAATCACAAGCAGCTGTACGTATGTATATATGTTCTAAACCGTTTGTTTACATGCAAGAAATGTTGCCTGATTTTGGCTAGAGGGAGCGCAACCTCTGCATCGGCTCGGAGCGAATAGATGCTTATACTTTGATCAATGATTAGTTTTACTATAATTAAATAGTATTTATATATTTGTTTAATACACTACTATACATCAATAATTAGCATAATCAGACATTCCCTTGAAATTGTATGATTATTAAAAAGAATTCAATGAATTATCGACTTTTTATTTATTGTCGATCTTCACTTTCTTCGTTAAAAATGTGTTACAGTTGTTTCGGAATAACAGTACCTTCTTTAGACATGGGTACAACGAGACGATCTTGGCTGTAAGTAGTACATAATGTCTGAAGAAGCTACTCTGATACCGAAACAACTGTAACACGTTTTTAACGAACGAAGTAAAGATAGACAATATACAAAAAGTCGTTAATTCATTAATCTAATACGGATGTTCATCAAGTAACGATCAATAGTATTAAACATTTTAAAAAGTTACAAATGTGTAAGATTCCTCTTGTGTATTCTGACAAACAAAATGTCACATATAGATTTCGTTCAGCGTGGAGTTTACCCTCAAATTCGATATCATTCGATTTTGATAAAAACCAACAGATATATTATTTACAATCATGCAAGGTGGTTTTCAAAGTTTCAGAGCTATTGACAACATGTATGAGCTGAAAAACTGCATGTTTAATCAACACATACTCTTATGAGAAACTTTGCAGTGTATCTCTGACGTGTTGTTCACTTAACTTTTTTACTGCGTTAAAGTACTTATATTTTAAAAAATTTTTACGCATCCAAGTTACCCTTACGGGTGATTTTACAAAATCTCCAAATGTATGGAGAATTACGTATGTAAATGATCGTATATAAATAAATGACACGATTATATAAATTAGAAGAAAAAAGCCTATCTGCTATGTGTATAACTTTGATGGGAATGCGCCCCATCGTGAAATTTAAGTATTTGGATCAACATGGCAAAACATATTCCGATGACTTATAATATATAGGATCACTAGCGCACTGCAGTGAGTCTACATAAATTAGTTTAGGAGTAGTCATTACAACTGCCACAATGTACTTGTTAAAGTTTATATTGACAAAAATCGTCTCTTTACCAATTTGTTGCGTAGAATGATAGATGATATCGTACGTGACAAAGTAATGTATCGAATGAAATTTGTTTTATTTATTTAAACACCGAAAAATTTTGTTATCATACTGCGAAAAAAAAATATAGTTGTCATGAGTACTAGGCTCATTCAGTCACTTATTGTTACGGCAACCCTAACTTTGAATTCGACAATTTAGATGAAAACTAAGTTAGTAAATAATTTATAAAAAAAAGTTACGACCTAAACTATGAAAGGTGCTCCTATTAGAATATTAAAAAAGTTTCCGGGTGAAAGTTACGGAAGGCATTTCGTAAATTACGAAACGGTTTCCTTTTAAGACGAAATGCAGGCCTATACTTTGGCAAAACTTTTCAAGTGCAAAGGCATGAAAACCCTTTGTTTCGAAAAACGCATTTTCCTTCTTTCGAAATATTAAAAATTTTATTAAAAANCCACTTTTTTTCTCTCTCATCCCCAAATTATGAAAAGTACATCCAAGCGAATAAAAAAAAATGTAGAAAAAAGAATGAAACATCGAAGCAATCTCTTAGAGCTCCGGTAAGCTACTCCGCGGAGTTGCCATGCAGGGAAACGGGAGCATTGAGTGGTAAAAAAAAAAAAAAAAAAAAAAAAAAAAAAAAAAAATTGTACCAACCACTGATTATCTTACAATATTTTGTGTTGTCATGGAAAGATTAAAACAAAAGAAATCCCCTCGTCAATCTAGACATTTCCTAAAGAACCGATGCTCCTTCCTTATATATATAGCTGCTCGACATTCGTCACGTATACTCACTTTTTTCCCGATATCCTTCGGATTCCCCACGCGCGAACCTTTCCACGTGACGCTTCCAATTTTCGCGCACAGGATCGAAGAAGCAGTCTCTGTTGTTTTTTTTTCTCCCCCTTTTTCCCCTTCCCAACCCGAACGAGCCGTAAATACCCATCAGAGCCATACCAGGCAGGATTTCTCGAAACAAAGCTCCCGGGACATTCGAATTCGAATGGCCACGAATCTAAACCACTTCCCCTCCCGTAGATATCATACACATATCGGATGGACAATGTAGGAAAAGACACATCTTTTTTTTTTGTCTCTCTGTAAAGGCTCCAATAAAGTATGCACCTTCGGCTAGAATATTCCGTGCGGGTAAGTACACGGAGCAAAGGCAATTAAAAGGGTCGCGCGTATATAAGGACGATGGTCTCTGATCTTCGGGAGCTATATAGGTACAGCAGCCACCCACACCTCGACGCGCCGGCGGCGATGGTTGTCCGACGTGTGTGTATACATAGCCGTCGTCTGGCGCGACAGGCAACGTCGGGCGGAGTGTATATAGCGTCAGTCGCGCGCGGAGCCTCGTCATGGCCGCCTGCTCGGCTGGTCCTCCCCTGAGCGCCGGCGGCATCCCGTGCGGCAAACAACAGCAACTCGGCATGCAGAGCCCGAGGCCCTGGCAGCAGCGTTTACTGGGCAACCACTTGGTGCGGTGCGGAGGCGCCGGCCAAGAGGCCCAAAAAGACACCAAGATCCCGAGCCACGAGGCCCTCAAGGACTACGAGGTGCTGGGCCTGTACTTCAGCTTCGTCGATCCCGGAGCTACTTGCGACGACTTTACCCGGCACCTCCACGAGCTACACAAGAGCGTCAACGACGCCGCTGCCGGCAAACAGGGGCCCGGCGACGCCAAGCGCCGGTACTTCGAGGTCGTGCACGTGCTGCTCTGGAGCAACGTCCAGGATGTGATGGACCTCGACCAGAGCTTCAGGAACCACGTGGCCGAGCTGCCTTGGCTGGCCGTGCCCTCCGACGACTACGAGAAGAAGGTGACTTTTTTTCCTACGTACGCGCGCTCTTCTCCCCCCCATATACAACGTATAACATTTGTATACACGCAACATAAGCAGCGTGTCGTCTTTGTGCTGTGCGATTAAAGCGTCATGTATATATGTACAGTCCCTTTTGCTGTGTAGCAGACTCGTTCTCCCGTTTTGGTACATATATCGCGTGTGTGCGTGCCCATGTGGATGCGCTGCGTAACCATCGGGGAATGCGTAAAAAAGGAGCCACAGATTTTATTCGCGCTGCATCGAGCGATTAAACTCTTTGTTGTTTTTCCTCTTGCTCAACCCCCTGTACTTTTCGTGTAGTTTTAGCGTGTATTACGCTTGGGTTTTTTTTTAGTAAATCGTGCCGATTTTTATCGGTGCTCCGATGGTGCATTTAAAAAAAAACGTGATTTAAGATTAGGATGAAGATTGATGTTTGTTTTTAAATAGGTGCATGGGTTGTAGTTGATCGTGGGGATGTGAAAGAAAACAATAACGGACGTATCGGCTTATTACAGTAAAATCTAGGCCGCGCCGTTTCGGTAGCACTTCGCATCGCGCAATTCTTCGGCTCGATATTGGAACCCGGGAGAATGTGCTCTCGACGCTCATGTTCTTTCATTTTTTTTACCCTCGCGCTTACACCCCGTCGTTTATTTTCGTGCGACGCGTCGATTTTTCGAAGCTCACTTTTCCCTACGGGACAAAAGAAAAAGGCTCACTGTTTTTCTCGCGACGCTTGGGCTTTTAATTGCACGGAGATTTCGTGTCGAAAGTAATAACTACGGGCGGCTCTTTTGTCTCGGCATTTTTTTCTTGAAATGCTTGCAAGAGAGCGGGGGTGGACGTGCAGAGATGTATGCTGTCAGCAATTTTGTTTCGTTCACGAGTTACGATTTGAAATGAAAAATTCTTGAAACTTTTCATTTAACAGAGACATAAATGATTTTTCAAAGCGAAAAGGGAGAAACAATTTGAAATCTTTTATAACACTTGGGAATAGAAAAAAAAAAAAAAAGAAATTTATTCCAAAGGCGACGTTGATATAAAGCGATCGAGCGTTCACAGACAGCGCGTTATTATTTCAAAATGAAACGGTTAGTCGGGGGGAAAAAAAAAACTTCAAGCGCACAATGAATCGTTTCGGTTGTGATTTCGCACAAAACACGTCTGTCGAGTGACAAAGAGAGCGAGAGAACGAGATATGTTGGGGGACGATGAAATTCGCTTCGACGCGGCCTCTGTTCGCTTTTGAAAATTCATGCAAATTAAAGTGGCAGTCGAGCGCACGTGAAATTCTTTTCAAAAATCCACACGCACGCACACCCTTCACCACGCGCACGTATGTGAAAGCCATTTTTTGAAAAACCTCACGCGACAACGTTCAAAATCATCACCGAAAACAAATACATGTTTTCCCTCTAGAGAAAAAAAAGAAAAAATGTAATACACGTATCAACCGCTCGATCGGCCCACAACGAGTATAATCAGCCGCTCAACGACGCTGACAACCCGTCGACAGTCAAATTTCGACGCTTGACGAGCCCCGACCCCGACTATCGTGTATCCCGCAGACCCTCTGCTCTTTCGACCCACGAGCGCTGTCAGAAAGTAAAAGCGGCGGACACGAGCGTCACGTCATCCAATAAGTGGATGCGTCGTCGAATCACCAAACGCGCTCCTCTCCCACATCCTCCAAATATATAATGTAATATGGTACGAAAATCGTGTGTGATGCGCACGCGATAAATCTTCATTATTTTTCAACTTGGATATATGACTCGAGTGTAACGAACTGGCGCGCTCAAACCGATAAACGAAATATAAAACCCAGTGGCGCGTGTATTGCGCGTCCCTTTGTCTCCAGGTTTCAATTGCAGATAGCCCAACTCGCTCTCGATACATTATACGTATATATTATTAACCGTACGTACAAAAATTGTCACTAACAAAATAAAAAAAGTACGGGTGACTCGGATGTCGAGGTACATTCTTCCCTTTTGTCCTTCGACGTGGCCCTATACACGCCACACAGTGTGTAATATATATGGACACCGACGCGCGACACCGAGAGAGCGAGAGAGCTCGGGGGGGACAATAAAATCACCAGCTCTCCCCTCGTTCCCTCAACATACACATACATGTATTGCTCGGGTGTGCGCGTCTCCCTGCACCGCCACGTGCTCCATATAATTCCTGCCTCCCCTCCCCCCCGTACCCCCTGGCTCTCGGCTCCAACTCGCGCCCTCCGTCGAATTTATGGCTCAAAGGGGGCCCTGCGGCCGTCTCCCTCTGCGTTTCTACTTCTTCTTACTTACCGCCTCCCCTCTCTCTCTCCCCTAGTGGTGGGTGCCGGCTTATACGCCAGATAAGGAGGAAATTAAGGGAAAGGGCTTCTGGAGGGAATCACCCGATTCATATTTGCATGATAAAAAAAAAAAAAAAAAAAAGAAAGGAAGGGACTGTTTCGCGTCCCCGCACGGCTTCGAGATTCGATTGGCTGACTAAGGGGTTGTAGAGGTTCCCCCCCCCTCCCCCCGTTTCGAGATCTGATTATGCGGGTCGACGTGCGGTGGCTGCACGTTATACACGTGCCGTTTCGCGGAAGATTCGCGCTCGAGGGATTTCGCTCCGGCGAGGATGGTCTGGACATTATTGGATAAGGAAACCCATGTAGGGCTTGGCTGCGTTTTTATCATTGGGTTCGCGTCAGTGCTGAATATATACACGTATAGTGTTAATATTCATTTATGCCCGAGTATTCGAGGTTTCGGGAAACTTTATTGTTACGTTCCTCCAAAGCGAAGGAATTCGCTCATGAATATGCAGTTGTATAATATATACTATAGCAGATATACATCGATTCTTGGTAGAAAACCCCAGAAATGGTAATGTCGGAAGTTTGCGGAGTATTATCACGCGCGTTCGCACAGTTCCATGACGACTACGCGGAACGAGGAAAAAAAAAAGCTTTCGGAAGGGGAGGCAGAGTAAAGCGTCGAGCCGTTCAGAAGTACCTATACGCATACGAGTGCACGTTTGGCGCTTTGGTCCGTGTATGTTTTTTGCGCAAAACCGAGCAAACACAAGATAGAAGTTAAAAAAAAAAAAAAATGAAAATAAAGGACGAATCAAGGATTAAACGAAGCTGACCCACATCGAGCTTTCCCTAACTCGCCTTTGGCTGCCGGCGTCTCGAGTGTGCGAGCAAAACGCTCCTCTTTTCGTTTCTTTCGCCCGACGTTTGCAGAGGTACTTTCGGTGTGTGTACAGACACCGAGTCGATTGCTCGGCGCGAGGGAGCAGAAGATGGATAAACACTTTGGGAAATCAAACGCGGACAACGTGATTATTTGAATTTCCGATGTGGACTCTTAGACTCGGCATCCTGGCCTTTCAGAGCAACCCCCAAAGTGTCCTCTCTCTCTCTGGCTCTTCTTCTTTTTCCGTTTGCGCGGAGACTGGATCTTTGTCTTAGTGGGAGAGGGGCTGCTTGTGCGCCGGGATCCTCTTGACGAGGAATCGATGCGGCTTTTTGTGCGCCTCCGGTATACTCTGGGTAATGAGTTGTACCGGAGATGGAGCTAATTGCAGTTGTATGTTGTTTTCCTGGTTTATTGGGGATAATTGCCATCAAAGATTCTTCGGGATTTCTCGTCCTGTCCCGAATCGTTTGAGATTCCGCCGCAATAATTGAGGTTGCCAGAAAACGTTTTCGAGGCTATACCGAAATTTCTTGTTACTGAGGATTTGGGCATAAAACGATTTAAAAAAATTCCTATAAATGAGAATAAAGGAGTTTTTATGAAATTTCAAATTTCGCGAGCTGCGGTGCAGTGAAAAAAAAATCATTGCTAGAACAATTCAAAGAAAAAAATTAAAAAGAAATCTTATACGTGCTATTCAATGTTTTGATACATTTTATATTCGAGGGTATGATATTGTTCTTTGGCGGAAATTTCTATAAAAGTTAGAGTTTCGTAATTCGCTCGTGTTACGCTCGAGAAAACTCAGGGGTCGCATAAAGGACGAGCACAAAGGAGACAGCCAAGGCGAGGGTTTACGATAAATTGTACAAGTCCAGCGAGTCCAACATTCAGGAGGCACTGGCTTGCGACAATTGAATTTGTCCTCATTTCGCCAGAAAAGACCTTTTTTTTTCTCTCTCATCCCCAAATTATGAAAAGTACATCCAAGCGAATAAAAAAAAATGTAGAAAAAAGAATGAAACATCGAAGCAATCTCTTAGAGCTCCGGTAAGCTACTCCGCGGAGTTGCCATGCAGGGAAACGGGAGCATTGAGTGGTAAAAAAAAAAAAAAAAAAAAAGTAACGCGTGACAACGCAGCAGCCGTCTATCCGCGCTTGTATTTTCAGTATAGTGCAGGTACTGCTCCATTTTCGCTATTGTTCATCTGCATATACGTATACAAACTAAGAAACTAAGAAACAAAAAAAGAAAACACTTTCCGCGTTTTCCCGCCCAACAGGCAGCCAATCGCGAGCCCGGCGTCAATTTTATCATCGTCTCCCCGCACTCTCGCTCCTATACACACAAGTCCCGGCGTGTCAAGTGCCTCGTCGCTCGATCCACACGGCGAACACGTCAAAGGGAGAACTAAAAGTCGACGACGATGACGAGGCCGAGGTCTCACGTAGCGCGTATTATACTCCCCGACTGCTGCAACCATTCCCCACCCCCCTTTGGTCCTCTTTGTTTTTTATATGGCACGACGAGTCCTTCCCCGAGGATTAATCGACTCGTATACCTGTAATTAGCGATTTTTCCTTTATCTCCCCTACTTCCTTTTGTCGGGCTATTCCACCCTCTCCTTTTGAATTTTCACAGTGATGGTTCTGATATACGTAATCGATAGCTTTACAAACGAACCACCCGCCCTTTGCGTGAGGTGCATCACACAACAGGGTTTTCCATTATTCGGTCATCGTCCCAAAACGAGGAACAAAGGGAGGGTGAAAAAAGACAGTTGATAGACG